TGGACTAGAAGACTCTGAGGTCTCTTCCAGCCATAGATACTGTGTGATTAAACAGATTAAACAACTATGACTGTTACTTGATTAAATAATCTTGTGTGTGTATCTGTAATTTATTTTCCAGCTTTATATAGCAGTAATTGGTATAAGCCAGTGATGGCGAACCTTTTAGAGACCGAGTGCCCAAACTGCAACCCAAAACCCACTTATTTATCACAAAGTGCAAGGGCCGCATCAGCATTGTGATGCCCTCGGGGGGGCAGGGAGGCACCTCTGAGTGCCACCTCTGGCATGCAAAAACCAGGGGCGCAAAAATGGGCCACCGTGCTACAAGGCACAAAAATGGCTGCCGCCACGCTGCAGGATACAGATACAAGGCGCTGCACCACACAAGAACGAGGCAGGGCTAGTGAGTATCACGCAGGCACTAGCCCCGCCCCATTTGCAGCACGTGCATGCTCGCAGACCTGTGCGCACATGCACGCATGTAAAATGCTTCCCCCTCCCTTTTCTTCCAGTTCACCAATCGACAATGGTTGGTGACCTCTGTTCTACCACCTTTACTCGAGCTTGCTAGTCAGCTGCTTCGCCTCCTTTGTGCTGGGCGGGGCTCCTGCTCCAGGCGGCGGTGGATGGACCTGATGGACCTGCTGCTGGTGGCAGTAGTGCACATGCCAACAGAGAGGGCTCTGAGTGCCACCTCTGGCACCCGTGCTATAGGTTCGCCATCACTGGTATAAGCTTTACGAATTCAGATATTATACACATGAATCAATCTTATTCAGATATCCAGGGACAGGAATTAATAATGAATACAGTTTTACTAATGTTAAAATGCTGGTGAGTTTGTCCCAATTCTAGTTTCATAGTGAAGAATGGAATTATCTTTGAAATATGTAGATCTGAATTTCATTCCACGTCCACAGGCTGAAATGCTAAATAATTGTGAATTTTGTATGCATCCAGCAAAACGTGCATTACATGTGTTAACTAAAACCTTGGCATGTAGCTTTTAAATAACTGTGAAAGTGCTCATGACATTGATTATGAAGTATTCAGCATACTTTGAAAAACAGGTGGCCAATTTGCAATTTATAGACCAGAGATATTTATTTAAAGAATTCTAAAAGTTTAGCATGCCTTTTCTGCTGTAAGTCTTTTCTCCCAGCAACCAATGAGTGGCATTCCAATATCCCTATGTAGCTTAAGTAGTTTCTGTATTTGTCTGCCTGTTGGTCAACATGCAGCAAGGATTAAAATCTAACCTCACAAATGTAGAAAGCAATAATATACAGCTTCCAGGTTTTAAATCAGTTTCTTCCTTTTCCTCAGTTAAATCTGATTTAAAGGACTGGTCAGCAGTTTGTTAACTCAATTCATAATTTAAAAGAAATAAAGCATGCTTTTAAATATTTAAACTTCTGCCTTAAACATCTTGCTCTTAGACTTCCAGTTTTTTGTCCCTGTGGTTGCTTTGATGCTTCCGAAAGACCCTTACAAGAACAAGTGAAAACATTAGGCAAAAATGTTTGAAAGTACTCTGAAAATTAGCCTAGGCTAAATTGTTCCACGTAGTCTTATATGGTTACCATTTCTGACCAGATGGCTTCTTGCTTCAGGTAAAATTAACACTGCATATTCCAAATGTTTTGTGTGTAATATGTCTGGCATATATGTTAACAAAATAATAATAGAAGCAAACTTAAAAAATACATAAATATGGATAAAATCACAATTTTCTCCATTTGGGAAGAAGGGATGGTCTTATCAATTCTGTTGCTCTTTTAGACTTCATATCAACTCACAAATGTGCATTCACTAAAATTTATGACTAGATGATTTTGTGTAATGTAAAATGCAGTCACTGAGATTCTTAAACTCAACATTAACAAGAACTCTCCTGTCTCCCTTTAGATAAATCTTCATCCTTCATTAGACGCCTACCCTTGAAATCCAACTATAGGTGTCTCTAAAATCCATTTACATTTACCTTTCAATTTTGAATGTAACAACTTTTCATTGGTGTGGCTGTGTTGTGTCATGGAATCCAACAAAATGTTATTTCCAATTTAACTATAAAAAGGCAATAATTGAGAAGGGCAACAAAATATCAGAAGAATCCAGAGCAGGGGTTCTACGTGCAGCTATTTTAGTGCTTTGTACTCCCCCTTCCCCAAACCACTTTTAAATTTGCATAGGAAGGATAAAGGGTCATCAGTGTGAATTCATATAGAGTTCAGATAACACCAATACTAACCAGAAAGTGACTCTTCCCCTATCCTTTTCAGCTTATATGCCCCCTGCAGATTCAGAAGCTTTGAATGGGCAGTTTTGAAATCCATGCATTTTTCTGCTATTGAAAAGTAACATAATTTATTTAATTAATACATTTAAATCATCAACTAAATAATTTCCCCTGCCATGCAAGAGCAATCTGAAGGAGGCAGGAGCTTCTAAGATTTGTGACTCACCTTGTTACTCTTCCCTTTGCCTTACAAGCATCTCCCTCTTTGCTGCTACTCAGTAGCGTCTCTGTTGCAGCCAAGGCTGTGCAAATGAAGACCTAAGAACTAAATCAGTAGAAGCCTTTTGACTCCCCTCCTAATCTCTCTCTCTCTCCTCTCTCTCTCTCTCTGTGTCTCTCTCTCTTGCCCTCTCTCTTTCATAAGTCAAAACTTGTCAGAGTCATTGCCTCTAAGTTGTTTTTTGTTTTTGTTTTTGCTGGAAGCAGCATCTGTCCTCTGGGCATTATTATTTCAAGCCATGTCAAAAAAAAATGCTGAACAAATTCAAAGTGAACTTAATTTTTGACATTTCATAAATCCACCTGGCAGGTTAATTTTCTGCAAATCTGTTTTTTCTTGTAAAAAAAATTTTTTTTTCCAGACCTTTCCCCTTAGAAAACTTTTTAAATATTTCCTTGTAAAGCACGCTGCTGCTTGCACAGAAAGGACACTTTTCAAATCTCCAGGGCAGTCACAGTGTATCAGCAACATCAAATTTCCGAAGATCAGAAGGCACACTTGTAACTTATGAACAAAACAATATTTATATTTTCTTAACCTTTTAATAATTGTGATCTTAAAGGACTTATTTTATAAATGAGACTGTAAAGGAAATTTACAGAAAGCAAGTTTTACAAGTTTGCACATTCCATTTTGACTTTTGAGAAGAAGGATGTAATTTGACTGCTCACAGAAGAACGTTGGTCACCACTAGATGCTCCGTTGGCTTCTGGGTCTTTTTCTGCATTTCAGCAGGTGCACACAAACACAGCACAGGAGACAGGACAGCAGCCTTCATTTGTACCTAAAGGTAGTCCTCAATTTACAACCATTTGTTTGGCAATCATTTGATGTTACAAAGGCATTGTAAGAAATGATTTACAACCATTGCTGCAGCCCCACAGTCATGTGATCAAAATCCAGGCACTTGGAAACTGGCATATTTTTACAATTGTTGCAGCATTCCAGGATCATGTCATCGCCATCTGCCACCATCCCAGCTGGATTCCGACAAGCAAAGTCAATGGAAAAAGCTGGATATACTTAACGATCACGTGATTCACTTCACTACTGCAGTAATTCGCTTAGCAACCGTAGCAAGGAAGTTCTAAAATCAGATGCAACTCACTTAACCTTAGCACTGGAACTTTTGGTCCCTATTGTAGTTGTTGTGATGGAATATACCTACCTTGTTCCTTTTTTACCTTCTGAAGAATCATGGAGTGCCTGTCTGAGACACTTTCATAAACTTCTGCCTTTGATTGGTCTTAGGCCATGTTTATCTGTTCATTGCTTTGGTAACAGATCTTCCTTCTCAGTTAAGGTCACTGTCTAATAGCATACACTCTGCCTGCATATAATAAATTGATATACATTGACAATAAAGTGTATTGATTTCAAGACATAGTTTTGCACATGCTACATGAACTACACTGAGTACTGTCCTAAAAATCTGTTGTTGACTTTCACCTGGATCTGTATTCCTACTTTTTAATCATACAGCACACAAATAAATATTAATACTCATAGTTTAGCAACGTAACTATTTTTTCCCTACAACACAGGTTTAGAATGATCTCAAAATCTTCCATGTTGTTTGAGAAGGTGATAGCATGTGGCCATGCTTGGCTCATTTCCTCAGCTAAGACAGGTTGAATGCTTGAACAAGAGATCTTAATAGGACTCAAAAGATTTAGAATATCCTGGGGAATTGGGGAAAAGCTTCCCAGAAAGAGATAATGGAAAAATACCCTTCCTATCGACAAGCAAACTACTTGAATGCATATATAAAATCAATCTTAATTTGGAAGAAAAGATATTCTCTAGTTGAGCTTTATTTCTGACAACTCATGTGTTACTCATAGTTATAGAAGTAATTAAATATTGCCTCCTTCTAGAAGTATTCTAGGAGGCAATGTTAAATTACTTCTATAACCATGCCACTCGGTTTCCCAAATGAGATAAGATTAACTAGGTGTTGCTACCTGCTAAGGCACTTGAAACGTTTATGCTTAATCATCCCACTGGACAGAGAAATAGGCAGAAGAAAGAAACAGCTATCAATCTTGCTGTAATGTGGGTCCACTCAAGCCTAACAAAGGCTCTTCTTTATTTGTCCTGTTTTGGAATAAATACATAAAGGTACTGGACTTTTTGATATCATAAGCTTACTGTCAGTTAAAATATCTAAAAAGGACACTGAAGAAAAATAATATGACAGACTTACTTCTTTCATAGAAAAATTAATGTAGAATTTCTTCTTAGTTGAAGAAAATACAGGGTTTTTTTCTGTGATTTTTTTTCCCCAGGCACTCTATTAATGAAAACAATAATCAACCACCAAGATGATCTTATGAGAATAAGGAAGCTATAAATGTGAAGTGAATATGTTGTGTGTATGCTGTTTTTAAAAATATCATTGTTTTGCAAGGTGTTAAAAATGTTATGATTTGAATTTGTGAGGTGCATAAAATAACAGAAACCAAATACACAGATATATGAAACAAAATTTATGAATCTCCCAGAAATTCTTCTGCACACGATTCACGGTCCCTTTACAAAAAACTTCACGTATCCACAAAAGAAAGTTTTGTGCCTTCACCTTCTTCCAATTCCCCAGTCAAGCAAGCCTTTACAGCGGCGTCACTGTCCAGTTTGCAGATCAGAACAGGAATGGATCCATGACTCCAAGAAACTATATTTATGGCAGTTTGTAGTTTCAAGGACACTCCTCCAGTAGTATCATGTGGTAGTGCAGATGTGAGCACAGTTCGCTCCATAGTTCTTTCAGGACCAATGACAATGGAATCCAGCAGCCTAGCACCTGTCCCAAAACAAACAAAGGATTTGGATTGCAACATACAAAAGCTAATCCTAAAATATAAGAGCAGCCTGGTATGGAAACAACTAATTCAATTTTGAAAGTTTACAAGGACTCATTTCCACTGATAGGTTTCAAAGAGAAACAAGGTTGGCATAATGCTTAACATTGTGTTAAATGTAACAAAATAGTGCAACCATGTTTTGCTGTCCTGACCCCCTGTCCCGTTTGTGTTGGAGGCAGTTTAAGGGGCTTCCGGGTTGAAAGGATTAGCCGGTGACATCACCACTGACCTGGGGACACTTGCGGGGGCTCCTTTCATGACCCCATCAAGAAACAGGAGCGAATGACAATTCATCCCACCATGAAGCAGCATTTGGGTCTCCAATGTGGGTTTGCTAACCTCCAACCTAGTGTCTGACCACATGAGCCACCATGACTCCTATCACTATCTGTCACTATCTCCTTAATTGGATGGTGCATTTTATGTGACTACAGTGCAAGCCCAAGAAAAAATATGCTTCTTTTTTTTAGGGAACTGCTGACAGATAATTACATATTTACTTTACTGATTTCAGCCTTTGGCCATAAATCACTTCTTAGCCTTTTGACCAAAATCAACTGTAGTGAACAGTACAGTAAATACTCCCATGCCAAATCTCAAGCACCCTTTCCATTCTGGATTTGAATAGCTGTGCATCCCTAGTTCATCTCTACCAAATCCTGGACTATAAGAAATACCTATACATTTTGTTTACTACCCCTGAATAAGCAAGATTTTTTATAACGTATGCCTGTATATATGGTAGCAACAGAAATATGACCTGTTACACATGTGGTTTAGTATTTTTATTTTTTCAAAACAGTAATGTAATAATGTAATTTTACAATTCTTTTCAAATGTATCTCTTAGAAAAAACATCAGCAAACCCCAAGTTATATCATATCATATAAATACTTCAAAATTTATATGCCAATTTTCATGCCAATTTTGATATTATCTATTATTCCTCTAGTATTGACAACTTCGGCCTACTTGATCTGTACCTGGGGTATCAGGTGGACAACTGTAAATTCCATTCACATCTGTGAGAAACACAACTCGCCTAGGACAGAATGTCTTAGCTAAAACCTGCAATAGAAAAAATAAATGAAAACTGCTTTATACTAAGTCAAATCATTGGTCCGCTAGCTTTCAAATTCTCTTGTGACTGACTAGCATCAGCTATCTAACTCTTCTTAGAATCTTTCACAAACCAGTATCTATTAACATGACTTGCCAGAGAAGTCACATTGTCCTGGAAATGTGACAAATAATTTGAGGAAGACTTGTCTGCTTCAGAACCATAGGATGATTTTTTTGTACCCAGGGCTACACACTATTTATCTTTCACATAAAATTGCTATACATTTTCTCATCCAGATGTAACATGGAAGAAAACTTACTTTTTTCAAACAAAACACAACAGGACTGCTGTTATCTGCACATGGTTGATGGCATTAAGAGTTTGTCTTAATTTGTACACAGCTCTGCAATTTTTCAGGCTACTTCTTATATTGGTATATATTTCACCCAATTAAGAATATCACCATATCTGTATTTCTATTTTTTAATCAACCTCAATTTCAATTAACTTTCAACTGCAAACAACTTCAACTTAGTAATATTCATTAAAAAGGAAAAAAAACAGTCTGAAATAGACAGATGTATCTGCAGCACATAAATTTAAAAAGAAGACCTCAAATTTCTTGTAAGTATCCTGGTGAATTTATAAGTCAAGTCATTCCCATATCTCACCTCAATAATTGTATCTCCAGATAAGATACAACAGTGTTGTTCCAAGTCCAGGGCACAATCTCCATGTAATACAGGGATATAACCTGCATCTAAAATGTCCTTCACGGCATCAATATCAGCCTCGGTGATATTCTTGTTTGTTGTTTTCCAGATCCCAAAAACCTGGAAAGAGATAGCAAACATACAATTTTGTTACTGTTGATTAATTAGAAAGAATTACTATTTCTGAAATAAGAATGATAAGGTTCTGAAAATTAAGGCATTTTTAAGTTATTCTGGTTCTGATATGTTCTATATTCAGGAAATCTCTTTGCCTCTTCAAATGGATATAGCATTGTTTCTTAAACTGTAAATTTACCAGATACAGTGGCAACCTGAAAAGCAACTATTGAATATGCTGGTATTATATATAAATATTTAAATCTGTTTCTCAAATTAAAATGCAGGTAAGTACCATGAAGAACCAGTTTGGTGAAATGGTTAAGGCACCAGGCTAGAAACCCGGTGGCTGAGTTCTAGTTCTGCCTTACACACAGAGCCAGCTTGGTGAATTTGGCCAATCATTTTCTCTCAGCTCTAGGAAGGAAGCAATGACAAACCACACCTTGCCAAGAAAATTGCACAGGTTATTCAGGCAGTCATCCAGTCAACACTGGCTCAAAGGCAGCAACAAAAACAACAAAAACTATCATAATTGGTGAATATATTATGAATTTCCAATACCAATAAACTTCAGTAATTTATCTAGGGCAGAAAACTGAGGTTTTTACAGGGTAAATATTTTTTTTTCAAAAGATACTTTCCCTTCATACTCAAACAGTAATGAAATTAACATTATCAAATCTAGGCAAATCATCAAAACCTACCTCCTTTCGAAAAAGACAAACAGAAATTATAGGCCCCTTACCGAAATCCCCACTGCTGGAACTCCAACACTAATCAATTGTTCTGTCACCAAATGGTTCAACTGTAAATAAATAAATAAATAAATAAAAGTGAGGCTTTCCCGCCTGGATTTTCTCTTTTTAAATTTCCTTATCAGTTCAATAATATTACTCCTAGATAACAAAAGGGAGACCCAGAATGAGAGCAAAAAACAACCACATTAGTTTTTTTTTACAGATACTGCATAGAAAATATCTTAAGCATCAGATCATCTAATTTTATAAACAGTGTTGTTTTTAAGTATTCTCATGATAACTTTTAAGTGTTCTCATGATACAGTGATACCTTGATACACATTGTTAATTGGTTCCAGGAGGCATGATGAGTACTAAAAACGATGAGTACCAAACAAATAGTATAGTGACTCCAGTGGTGGAATTCAGATACCTGAACAACCGATTCTCTTATTTGATTCAGGCCTTGGCCTCCAAGACTTATAACAGACTTCCAGAAGTGGCATCCATGCACTTCCAGCTGGACTTTTGGAAGCCAGCTGGTTCTCTGAATGCAGCAAAATTTAGCTACCGGTTCTACCGAACTGGTGCGAACAGGCTGAATCCCACCACTGAGTGAGTCACAAGGCAGCCAACACTGACAAGTTCCAGTTTATGCATTGAGTACCAAATAATGAATCCTGGGACAACATTTTCATGTCAAAATGCGTTGAGTACCAAATTCGATGAGTTTCAAAGCAGTTGAGTACCAAGGTACCACTGTACAATAAATCATCCTGATAATCATGTAAAGCATATATTGTGGATGTGTTGGTGATGCAAGAGAATGCTTGTTTTTGAATAGAAGGCTCATAGCACCAATCTGTGGTACTCATTCAAAATTGGTCTGATATGACTTTCAAATCCAATTTTACTGTCATCTGCTCCGATTTCCTAGTTGGCAATATGATTTATAATAGAATGGCCCAGAGTAGACACTTCATGACTCGCTTTAAGTCACAGGGGTCTGTGAGCATCTTCACTATCATTCAGAATCACTTATTTTAAAAGCTAGGGATGGATGTTCCTCATGATGTGGAGTATCTGAGAACAGAAATTTTAAACATGCAATTTTAGCCTTCTTTCAGGCTTTCTCTCTTTTCCTGTGAACAGGGGGATGAGAAACAGAATGTCTGAGTGGACTTCTGGAAGTGAAAGAAACTGACTCCCTATAAGGCAAAGATTGTGTATAATTCTGCTTTGAAAAAAGCAACTGGAGGAAAGGTAGGATGCCTTGCATAGCTATCCAACTCCCAAGCAAATCTTATCCTCTGTCTAGCTTCTGAGTTGCCATAGTGTGCATCAAAAAACTAAATTGACCCCTCTCACAATTTTAATATGTCTCCAGATCCATTAGCATCTGGCTCTCTTCCTGCCACCCTGTTGGTGGAATAAAGGGAGATCTAGTGGATTTGCTTCCTCTGTGAGAATGAGCCTCCATCCTGGAGCTGGTTGCTGGAGAACTGCCCTATACAAGGGTTTGGATTTCTAGCTGGTCAATCAAGCACTCTCTACTGGCATTCCTTCTTACTGACCTAGAGGGAAGGGAAATCCTTTCAGGTGGCCATTGGGTTGCAATACTTGAATTGGGTGTGGCTTTCTCTCTTGCCATATTATGTGAATTATTGCTCATTACCCATGTTCTGTTGCTTTTGGAGAACTGGTTAGGCTATTCTTTTGATGTTCCTTTCCCAGTTTCCTTGGTCAATCTTCCAGCTAAGCCATGTGACTCTCGCAAATGCAGCCTGCTACATCACTGGGCTCACAGCTACCAGGAGGTCCTTTAGAATGGTGGAGGATCACTGGTCTTCTTTTCTCTCTATTATTTTCAGCTTCTAAGACAGCCCTGATGGAGGGGCCCTGCTTTCTCTAAAGGATAAGTATAAGATGATACAAACATTTCTTTCACAGACAGGAAGAAGCCTTAAGCAATCCCTATAACTAGAAGAGGGAAACTTAACTCTTTTCTGTCAGCTACCTTCCTAATGGCAATTTTACAGTGAAGCTCTAATTGTTTTCTATCTCCTAGTTTTGAACCAAAAATTAAGGTATGATTCATGAAACCATTAGAATTCTCACAGAATTCTCCTCTTCTTTATGTCCTTTGTTACTAGTATTGGTAGAAAATAGGTGAGTGAGGGGCTTCCAGGATCTCTTTACCACTTTACCAAAGGGGAAAAAAACCTATCTATAATAAGAAAATCTGTTCTGCAGTAAAGCAAGTAGCAATTACCATGTATACCAAACGCAGATATGTATTTTAAGACATATTTTGCATTGATTTCATATATCTGTGAAACTATATATCATTTAAACATTTCCATATGCTCTCAATTCATCCATCTGTCAGACTTCAGTGCATCTCATATAAGGAACCCAGCAAGGACTACAGCACAACTCAGGAATGAACATGTGATCTGAGAACATTTGCAAGACACTCAGTGATGTTGTTGTATAGTGCTTGGTGGATACCTTGGTGACAGAAAGCCTAGTCAAACACAGCCCTTGTCTCAAATTGTCACTTGCAGCTGATCTTCCTGATGTCCCCAATGCAACACCATATTCTCTTGCTTGGAAATGCCCAAAGGACCTGGAATGGCAAAAGAGAGTAATTTACATCTGGAAAAAGTTGTTTGGTTCTCAGCAAGCTGTTAAAAAAGCAGTATTTGCCCATTGTTCTTCTGACCCAAAAACAAAGGCTGTACTGTAAATTAATAAAGGGCAAATTTGCACTAGTTGCTTATGATTTCTTTTATTCGCTTTGCTATAACTGCAAAGTATTAATAAGCGGTGCCTCAATTCACATGAGCAGCTACTTGGCTATTACCATGCTGAAAAAGAAAATGGGATGAAGACTACATTCCTCTATTTTAAGTTACTATTTTTCAAAACAGCATAAATGGAAAACTCTTAAACTATCACATGGCCTCATTTTGTCTGTTACAATTCTGCTATCTGTGAAAATATGACCTGAACACCAGACAAACTCTTTGTTCAAAATCTTCAACTCCTCACTAATATTTTCCTCCTCAACGAAAGCTGTGTTTTTCCACTGAAGGGGGACATTTTCTGGAAGGTGACTTTGAGATGAGACAGCTATTTTCCAATCACATCTGATGTCACCCTGTTACAACAGCTACAACAAATAAACAAACAAATATTGTGTCTGGTAAGGGACATCTATTTTAGCCCAAAGAATGAATGAATACTTAACTGCTTAACTTATAAAGTACATCACAATATGATGCATAGCATGAGGCTTATTTGTTTTTTTACAATGAAAGCCAAGAACTTCCAAAATGGGAAATAGAAGGATTATAACCAGAACAAACAAATCCACCAAGTACAGCCCTGGGACCCACAATCTCTCTTCGCCTTTTTCACTGAGGAGTTTGTATGATCTGCTAAACTTCCAGAACTCTCCTGTTATGTGTGGCTTTTCAATAGTTGTTTTAAAGTGTGATTGTTTTTATGTATTTATTGTTTTTAATTAAGCGTGCTGTCCAGACTCACTTTCATTTACAAATATATAATACATACATACATACATACATACATACATACATACATACATACATACATACATAAAAAAGCAGTAACAGTTGTGAGGAGAGAAAGCATATACCCATTCTTTCATAGATGGAGTATAATAACCAGTGTTTCTCAACACTCACTTCTGAAGGTCTATCTGCCTCCTCTTTCTTTTGATTTGCCCAGGGAAACAGAGTTAAATCAGTATTTTATTCTTCCCATTTCTATTTTTCCTTTGAACTTTAAAATGACTTTCCATGTATCTTCATCCATTTCCCTGGATCAAAAAACTTAGTAGCAACACATGCCCAATATGTCAATCACACTGATATCAATGAATGCTTACTCTGAAATAAATCCACTTTTCTAACAGAATACATCAAAGAATCCTGCTTGAGATCTTGGAAAATTTGGCACCCTCTGAGTAATTAATACTGGATTAAATCAAGCTGACAATTGATGGGTGCTGTTTTCATGAAGCCTTGGGGGGGATTTTTGAAACACAATCATCTATCCAGAGTTGGGCTGATTAGAAATTTACAGAACTGTCAAGCATTCATACCACCGCATGACTCCTGTGTGCAGTTAAACGAAACAGATGTAAATTCCAAAACAGCTTATTGCAGAAATATGACAGAAGTCAAACCAGCTAAAAGAAACCTGTAAACTAAATCCATGTAAAGATCTACTTTTGCTTCTCTTTCAGACAAGCACAAGAGATCACTTTAAAAATGGGAAATGGAAGTATTATCAGATAGCTTCTATATTTATCACCATAGAATTTACAAACTGTAGTTTGAGAAAAGGAATGTAAATATAAAATGACTATATCTTAAGTGGGCAAATTATATATTGTCATTTTATCTCGCTGTTATTTCTTTTGCAGCTGTGAATAAGTGATGTATGTCTTCTCAACTTCCTATCCAGTTAATTATTGATGGGGGATTCTGAAATCCTCATTATCTTTTTTATGATTGTTTTTAGCGGACTGGGAACTTTAAATTGGATTATGGTTCTTGAAAGGAAGGCATGGTTGTGGTATTATTCCTGATTAACATATGTGTGTGTCACAGTAAACAACAAAAATTATCAACAAAATCCTTAGAAAAGAAACATTCTGAATTTATTTAAGGAATAATTGTCTGCATGGAGAAATGGAACGAAGTCTGGCAATCCATATATCAACTCCTGTTTGGGGGGAAAAAAACTACTTCACACTTTGAAGGAGAAAGTCACAACATAAATATATTTACTTCAATAACAAACAAATGTGTGTGGCCTGTTGTTATTTAAATGACAGCTCTTAAGAAGTGGAGCCTATTGCCCAACTGAAATTTCCTCTGGACAGTTGGAGGAACCCACCAAAGCAGCTTGAAAGAGACAGAAAAAGACAGTTACGTTGCCCAAATGGAAAATGGTGGTGATTTTCACCTAATCATGTAGGCTCCCCCCCCCCCCGCTTCTATTCAATTGTATCTGGTTCACAGGGACCAGATTTAATGAAATCAGCAATGCAAAGTAGAAATAGGTGGTCCATACTGAATAGAGTCACTGCTCTGGCTATTTTGTGCTTCTACCCCACTACTAATTGACTCTCTCAGATAATATTTGCAAAGGCATGCAGTAAGGAGAGGCATTGAAAGCTGAAAATGCTAGTCGTCCAAAATGGGACTAAAATCATGCACCTGTTGGGAAGAAGCAGCCAAGTCTTAGGTCAGACTACCATAAATATTCCCTCACCATGAGGGGCCCCTCCTTTTTGAGCATGTTTTATGCCTCCATTATGTGCTAGTTGATCCTCTGTTAATGCCACAATTACAAAAAGGCCATGGGGATGTACTCAATTGCTTGTCAATGGAATAAACACCTTTGTTGCCGCAGGGGATGGCTGAAAAGATTCTAGTTTCTCTTTTGCTTACCTGCCTAGCTGGTATTTTTAAGTCATGAGATGAATAAAATATTAGTTACAATGACCCACTGCCAGCAACATAATATTCTGTCCTCAATTACAAGAAAGCAGATGATGTAATTAATTAACAACCCCTACCCACCCACCCATTTTGGCAACAGGTGCAACACAGTTTGATTTAATTCTCTCATTTCTTTATTTCAAAGATCCGTGGGGCCACCCAGCTTAAAATACAACTCTGGGTGGCTCACAATAGTAATGAAATCTCAAACCATAAAACCAAAACTAAAACTAAGAATGACAAAAGAAACATTTCACTTTTTACTTTGCTTTTCTGTGGGAATGACACTTGTAAATGAACTGCTTGAAGATATATGCAAAGAAACTTTAAAACAATTCTGTGACAAGAGATTTAAGTAGTTTACATAAGTGATTTTAATAATGTAACCACAGAGGCTAATTCTCCATTTGAAGAACTGTCAGAACAAGCTGTGATGAGGAAGCACCACTTGCACAATTCAATTTGGATGGGCATCTTAATAAATGAAATATAGAAAATCTCCAAGACAAAGCATATAATCCCAGGTCAATAAAAACACAATAAAACCAATTCTGGAAGAAGAAATGAACAACTAGTATGACACTAACTATCCTATACTTCAAGCTTGGCTAAAATAGTAAACATTTAAGTTGATAGTTCAAATAAAAACAGAAGTATAGAAAAATACAAAATGGATTCCTCATGTTTACTCCCAGGGTTGCATTTAGCACCTAGTATCCTTGTTTTCACAGGTCTTGCTCTACAGAGAGAACCTAGGAAAGATCCCATGGATGAAAATCCTAAAAGGTAAAACAATCCAAGAAGCATGAGAAACTCTCAAAAATCTGATCATAAAAGCCCAGACTAGCACAATACCACTGAAAAAGAAAAACCAGAAATTCAAGAAGAAACCAGCATGGCTGCACAAAGATCTCTCTGACAAACTGAAAGACAAAAAGGACAAATACAAAAAATGGAAGGAGAGGCATATAACTAAGGCTGATTATCAGCAGACAGCCAGAACATGCAAAGATGAAGTCGGGAAAGCAAAGGCTCAGAATAAACAAAGACTTGCAACAGAAATCATGGATAATAAAAAAAGTTTCTTCCAACATATTAACAACAAGAAAAAAGTCAAGGAAACTGTAGGTCCACTAAAGAGAGAAGATGGCAAGGAAATAACAGGCAACAGGGAGAAAGCAGAGCTGCTTAACTTATACTTTGCATCAGTCTTCACACAAAAAGAAACTATAGCCCAACATACCAAAAAAACCACTGCAAAAGACAAATTAAAAACAAAAATTAAAATAAGCAAGAAAATGGTAAGAGAACACCTATCCGACCTTGACAAATACAAATCACCGGGGCCTGACATATTATATCCCTGAGTTCTGAAGGAGCTGGCAGATGGTATCTCAGAACCATTGCACCACATCTTTTAAAAATCCTGGAGCACTGGGGAAGTACCTGAGGATTGGAAAAGGGCTTATGTGGTTCCCATCTTCAAAAAAGGAAAATAATCGGACCCAGGAAACTACAGACCAATCAGTTTAACATCAATACCTGGAAACATCCTAGAAAACATAATCAAAAAACAGATCTGTGAACAACTAGAAGCAAACAAAGTTATAACTAGTACCCAGCATGGGTTTGTTAAAAACAGATCATACCAAACCAATTTTATTTCATTCTTCGACAAAGTGACAAAACTAATAGACCAGCGAAATACTGTGGACATAGTATACTTAGACCTCAGTAAGGCATTTGATAAAGTAGACCACAACCTACTCCTTAGTAAGCTACAAAAAGGTAGAATAGACAACATCACCACCAAATGGATCTGTAGCTGGCTGGCAAACCGTACTCAACAAGTATCTTCAACAGCACAAGATCCACATGGAGAGAAGGAAGCAGTGGGGTACCACAAGGTTCCGCCTTAGGCTCAGTACTCTTCAATATCTTCATCAATGACTTAGATGAGGGAATTGAAGGGGAACTCATTAAATTTGCAGATGACACCAAATTGGCAGGAGTAGCCAACACCCCAGAAGACAAACTCAGGATCCAAAAAGATCTTGACAAACTTGAACAATGGGCCCTATCTAACAAA